CCAACTTACGTCACCTTTGGCGGAGGCGAGATATCCGTCTATCAATAAAAGGACGAGTATACTGCGCGGCAGTCCGTTCTGTTTTAATTTACGGCAGCGAAACATGGCCATTAAGAGTAGAAGACACTCGTAAGCTACTAGTATTTGACCACAGATGCCTTAGAAATATTGCTGGCATCTGCTGGGATCACCGGGTAAGTAATAGTGAGGTTAGACGCAGGGTATTAGGGAATGATGGTAAATCAGTTGATGAGGTTATGAATCTTCATCGACTGAGATGGTTGGGCCACGTGTTACGTATGCCTGAACACCGATTACCGCGACGTGCAATGCTAACCGGTGTACGGGATGGTTGGAAGAAAGTTAGGGGCGGCCAAACCAAAACGTGGCATCAGTGCTTGAAGTCAGTAACTTCTAGTCTGAGCCATGTTGGTAGATGCAGACTACTTGGTTGGGGTCCGCGTGACTTTCGTAACCAATGGTTGGAGACTCTTGGTGACATGGCTCAGAATCGATCACAATGGCGTCGGTGTATACACTCTCTGTCTTCTCTTAAACTAAGAGATTAAGATCACTTCACATCTTTCTTTCTACGAACTAATTCTTTCTTCCTATACTATATCCTTATCGCAATCTTTCTCCTATATATTACCACCTTTGACCTAACCACTCCTATGAATCCAGTGTTCATCTTGCTGTGCTAATGAGGTATGGCAACCTGGGCCGATGCATACATGTGCCTGATCCTACGTTGTAGCTGACTGACTGAAGATGACCCTACTCACAATATGGTCTTTATCATCTCAAAACATTTTTAGACATCAACATCACCTTTAAAATGATGGAACTGGACACGATGTATTTGCTAATGGTAAAACCGAGCAAACTAAAAAGCTACAGAACATTTTAAGCTGAAAGACTAAATTTCACAAACTCCCTAAGTTGCACTATTGTACACCCAGCCTTTTGCACTAAAACTGATGATACCAAGAGATACCTAAATTTCCCTATGCGAATCGAAAAGAATCACAACATCAATATCTACAATACGTACTGTAGTCCACGAACTTGTCGAGGGAATGACGTAATTAATGACACTATTTAGACGAAAATTGGCCTGCTACTAGTATGCTACTTTACGCCCGTCTACATAACCTGTGCAGTAAAATGACACTTGTTTAGAATTCACAAGTAGTGGGCTTCTTAACTAAAAAAATAAATTGGTAGTTATGCTAGTCGAAAATCTTGACAGGAAATACATACTGTGCTGAATCGTTTTGAAACTGACAAAGCTTTGCCTAACATGCCTTCAAACAACAGGTCTTACAGGGGTTCTGAGTCTCAAGTGAAACAGTCTAGTGAGACATCACGGTTTCGTGATTAGTGTTACATACATACTTAAAAATCTCATTCTAACACTCAATTAATGAAAGCTTAAAGTATTTTCTATGGGATAGTTACATTACTAATACCAACAATAATACTTGGTTAGGCATTAAAGTAGCAAAATACCTAAGAACACTAAAATACGGCAAAATTTAACATACCCCAGTGACAAAAATCAGACGATATCACGAAGAAGTTTTCGGGATTTGATAGGTATCGAGAGAAAATCTGACCATAAACTGCTTCCCTTTCTGGAGTCAAATATCCTACCAAAATTGGTACTACAGAGAATTTGCCTTGGTAACTAGAACACCAACACCAAATAAAATAGGATTTCAAAAGAAACGACAGCATAACAGTCTAAAATTGACGTATACACCAGTATGTAAAGTGTTTTTTGTAAATGCCATGAGTTCTGGTCTGTTGGGTGTTTTATAATATTAAGTTGGTGAAATTGAAGGTATGTATGTACAAATGAACACGACGAATAAAGATACCAAAATTTAACGGCACGCGATAACTTGCAGTGTACCGAGATTTTCTATTACAGAGTTTATTTTGATTGTCTTCAAAATTCGTTTCAGCACTGTATGTTGCAAAGTGCAGTGTAGTGGAGGTTTTAAATAAAATATGTTTGAGTCATTCGGAGTAAGAAAAACATTTAAATTTATTTCGACAAACATTCGCATGACTGTATTTGCATTTAATTTGGTCAACATTTGCATGAACTTAGTGTGGAGATACGACGAAAGCTATAAGATGAAAGTTAGGGTAACAAGTACCATGTATAATAGGAACTCAAAATTAAGGCAAGCGGATAGGAAGATAACAATTATAACACCTAAAAAGGCAACTGAAGTCCATAGTACAAAGTTGGTGGGAATTAACTCGTTTTAAGCATAATGCTATTAAAATGGACATCTCTCTCAATCAACGGCACTAAGCGCCTAAAGATTATAAAGGTTTACACCAACCGAGTCAATCAGATTTGAGCAAAACGGAATACAGATTGACATAATTTAGAACGCTTAGCCCCCACATGTATTTTAACACGTGGTTTTGGTCATGAGACTGTGATCGTTATAGTTACAAAGCAATTTGTAAAACGGGTTTCTATTTCCAGTTTTGTATGAAAAACAGGAAGGGATTTAGTGCAAAAACATACAGCTGTACTGGTCAACATGGTGACTTTCTCAAGGACTAAACGACTAGTAGTGTTCGGACTCCATAATCTTAAATAAAAGTAAGACTAATAAAAATATGCCCCTATGGCCGAATACACCTTAAAAGTCTCATTAATGGTGAAACTTCCCAAAAACCCATAAGCTAAGCCAACAATTGTTATGACTGGCTGTTCGAAAATTGACTACATGAGGAATCACGACATTGTTTTTATTAAGTACACTTACCATTGGCTTTACCGGTCTCCAATGTTTTGACTCAAACTCCTAGTAATAATAATTCGTTTCTACATTCAGTTCATTATGAGCCTTTATAACAACAGGAGACAACAATTTAATAACTATTTACAAAATACCTTGGTTATATATTTACTTAAAAATTAATATGGACTAAATAAAGATTTAACAGGAAGTTACCCTTCCATCATTTTTGCTATATATGGCATTTGCATTTCTATGGAATGCTCTTCTTCGTCTTTGTCCAAAGCGAGACTAACAAACTCTCCTGTTTTTTCGAGGTCTCGGTATACTAAAAAAGAAATTGGTACACAGCCCTGAAAGTATTTACTTACCATCTCTACCAATTGACAAGGAGTACAATGGAGTCTCGAAGAACTCCGCTGTGGATAGAGCGCATTTTCCTCTGAGGCTCATATAGTGTGCAGGACCTAATACGAAAATACGTTTACTGGGCAAAGCTATTTGTATATATGCAGTTTACATGTGACGAGGGTCTATTTGTTTGTACGCAAAAGCAGCACAAGGCCCCGAATAGTCATAACCCGCATGTCTATAATATATCACGTCAAAATAAGTGGTTCATATACGGTGAAATGATAGCACGGGCTGGTTGTCGATCAACAGTTACTTCAGACAACCATTTCTGCAACTGGTTGTTAAGCTTAGTACCTGAACGCCATCAAGAAACGTTAACAGAAAACGATTTTATACGGTCTGAAGAATACCAACTACCAGCATGAGAAGCTCTTCTAACGACAGAACTCATTTGATTGTTGAAGGTTTACTGTAGCCAGCAGTACCAAACTGTTTCAAATACGCTCGTAAGTTTGCATATACGTCCAATAGATTAAGCTTGTGTAGTATGGACAGAAAAATTACGGCCTATATTATTCCTTTCTTAGTATGTCTCGTTGGGTTTCTAGTCTTCTCTTGAATGAGCCTGTTAAGCGAAAGCTTCTTCTACGTCCACATCCATTTGAATATGTAAGGTGCGGACATCACTACTTCGGTTAACAGGTTCACAGAAGTGATGACCTCTCAATCTGAGGTAGGATAGAGTGAAGAAGTCTAGCTTTTCAAGCAACCCTTCATGTGGTAAACCTCAGAGTTCTGAAGTTGCACGTGTGGATGTCTACACTCTTTTTCTAGGATGTTCGAGTCACCTTTAAAGAGGTGCTTTTAGCTTGAATACAGTTTTCGAGCTTGATTCTCACTCTGGTTGTGTATACTGCAGTGAACGTTGTAGTAGCTAACTTGATGAAGCCTATATAGTTTTAAATCTTTTAAGCTGTGACCTCTAGACAGTGGGCCGTGGTCCGAAAATCATGACTCACTGTCACCCGAAGATCCTTGTGAGGCCAGGACACCGGTACAGGCACTTCCCGTATGCTGTAATAAATCACCTTTGTATCCACAATGTGCATGTAGACACCATTCCCCGTGTTGATAGACGTCAGCCACTCTTTTGACTAGTCAGCCACAATATTTAGGTCTGCCTGAAGTGCGTAATCACCAGATTTTTACATCGTCAGCGTGCAATAACATTGGCGACTCAACTATACTTGGGAGATCATTTATATACAACATAAAGAAATAAAAGACCTAGTACAGAACGTTGAGGTACTCCACTAAGTACTGGTCTCCAGGTAGAGCACCTCGAATTTATTCTTACATTCTGTCTACGACCTACTAGAAAATCCTTAAGTCATTGTGGTGGAGTTCCTGCAATACCAACATTTTCTAGCTTCATTAGCAGTCTGTCTGTCGGCACCTTTTCAAATGCTTTAGACAATATCTACTGGTTTTCCATTGTCTAGAGCCTTTGTCCATTTCTCCCTTGTTATAAGGAGGTTTGTTGTGCAAGATAAACGTCATCCGAAACAATGTTGTTCGCTGTTTAACAAGTTGTTGGTTTCCACAGATGTTATTATTGTCTTTTCGACAATTCTTTCTAGTATTTTAATTGCGACGCTGACCGGGCCGACAGATCTGTGGTTCCATGGAAGTTGTCTTGGTCCTGTTTTATGTATCGGAGTGACGACTGCATTCTTCCAGCCCGTAATAATATGTGTTGAGTTGCGTTTAATTGCAGCCGTCCAAGTGACATTTTGAATATAACAGTTAGTGTGGCTGCAATATACTGTGCAATATGTCTCGGGATTTTGGCAGCCTGCTTAAATATCTGGGCTACCTGTTTCTGCCATCTGATTATTTCAACAAGTTATCTGGATTTTTTCGTTTGTTTTAACTTATAATTATGTCCATTAATCTCATAACCTATTCAAGCGCTTTTATGAAAACCTAAGACCTTTCGCTGAACAGGTTACAAAAAAGTACTATGAAAGACATCATGGTGGTTGGCAATATGCGTTAAAGAGAATGAATATTAATCTAATGCTGATTCCAGAGCTGCTAAATTCTAACTGTCGATCACTAATCAACAAAGTGCACTATCTGTAGTTCCTACTAAGTCAAAATATGTATCGTAATTGTGGCGTCATCACAATTCACGAATCTTGGTTAAATGATTTACAGGATGACTGCCTGGTATCACTACGTGATTTCATAATTTATCGTCAGGATCGATCAAACAATAAAAAGAGGTGTGGTGGCGGTGTAGCTACGTTTGTAAACATAAACTGTTGTCGATCTTCGTTTGTGTGTTTTAAGTTTTCAAATGACTTTATCGACTGTCCAACTCTAAGATGTCTTCCAAAACATTTGAATAAATACAAATATGTTTATGTCACCAATATCTACTCACTCCAGATTGCACATCATCTGCACTATCTGTTTTCGCTGATGAATTCGCTGAGTTCGCTGTTACTACCTTCAGTGATTCACTTTCAGTTGTATGTGGTGATTTCAATTCATGTGACTGTAGCTTCCTTACGTCGCTAGGTCACCAAAACGTAGTAGATTTTCCTATTCGTTTAGACTTCGTTTTCATTAATGATGTTGGTGTATATGCGACTTTTAAACGTGCCCCATTATCTAGCTCAGATCACTGTATAATTCATGTTCTACCTACAGTATATGGAAAGCATGGGAAGAGCACACTCTTACATCAAACCAAGAAAGTCAAATATAGGAATTACTCAGAAGAAAATATCCGAAATCTGAAAAAACATGTTTCATACGACTAACTGGGAGTTATTTACAGATGACTCACTGGAAAACACTACTGATGTTATCATTTGTTACCTTAAATTCTGTTCTGATATTTGTTGTCCCACTGAAACCATTTTTGTAAGTTTTGATCGACTGCGGAGGATGAAAGAAAGAATGTACAAGGAGAAAAACTCGAATGAAGTTCGTAAGCTAAATGGTCTGATAAACCTAGAGATTAGACGTCTCAACTGTATGTTTACTCAAAAACTCTTGTCTTGTGGAAACTCTTTAAAGAATTTACAAGCGACAGACAGTTTAGAAGCGATAACCAGCTGAATGTTTATGACTTAAGTAAGTCTTTTGTACGTCAGTCATCTGGCGTGATGCTCTCTATATCCACGGGTTTAAACAATAGCTGTGTTCCTACTTTCACTGAGACTGATGTACGAAGATGTCTCCAGTCGCTTAATTCATCTCGATGTTTGGGACCTGATGGTATCCCAAACATCCTTTTTAAAAAGTGTGCTGACGTCCTATGTTATCCGTTCACAGCTATCTTTAACAGATCCTTCTAAAATTGCCCACTGCACACAAGGAAGCCATAACGTTGGCCTACTTGGGAACCCACCTACTGATTCTAGGTACTATCTAAGTCAAGCCACCCAATACAACGGTTTAGTCCCCCCTAATTCGACATACACACTATCTCATCCTTTTTTATCTCTCTCCCCCTCAACATTACTGCTATGGGGTCTCCAAATGTTGAGGGCGACAATCCCACTATTCTGAAACCATCTATATACTCCGATTTAATGGGGAGTAGCACATCCTACTCAACTTCGATAACTGTCTCTAGTCTTGAAAACTCCTTGACTGAACCCCCTGATCATTCCCCGGACACATTACCTAACCATTCAACTCTACCTTCCACTCTTAGACATACTTCTTTCACCAAAACCACACCCGACTACCCTTCTTGCATTAACCCTACTGGTAATAAACTAAACGCTCATCAATATGGAGTCAACGCTCCCAATTCTTCCTTTTCTCATGGCAAAACAGACAAACCACTCGGTTTACATCATACCCTTCTACTAGACAAACAGTCACCGTACCTGACACTTATGTTAATCAACGCTCGATCTGTACAAAGTAAGATGACTTACCTACGCACCCTATTACTTCTAAACAACCCCTCACTTGTTTTGATAACGGAAAGTTGGCTGTCCTCCGATACCACAGACACATTTCTACAAATAGACACCTATGAGCTCTTCCGCTGTGATCGAGTCACCAAGAAGGGTGGTGGTTGTCTCGTTTATGTATCAAAAAATTTGAGAGCGGAAACCTATAGCGACCACGTCCTCAGCAAACTTCCTGAATCGATATGGCTTACTGTGCACACTCATGAATGTAAAATACTAATCGGATGCATATATCGAGCTCCTAACACTCCTAGTTCAACTGACACTATTATAAGTGAGTCATTTGCTCAGGCTGCCTCGCTTGACTTCACATACAAAATTGTATGTGGTGATTTCAACCTTCCCACCATCAACTGGAAGACACATTCTGGCCCATTGTGCTTTGAAAGCATACTTAGGTCCTTAGACATACACGGCTGGCAACAACATGTACACCTGCCTACACGAAATCACAACATTCTTGACTTGATATTCTGTCATAATGTCACACCAACATCAATGGTGGTTGGCGAAAAGTTTCACAACAGCGATCATAAAATAGTCCTCTGCACCCTTCCGATTCTTGCCATATGCAACAAATTAAAGACATTAAAAACGCGATTCCAATATAGAGACTATGCAAACGCTGACTGGGAAAACTTTCGATTTCTAATAAAGCACTCTGACTGGGGCAGTTTCTTTACCAGTAATAACCTCTTAGAAACATTAGAAATATTCAATATCACCACCAAATCTGCACTAGACACTACTATACCCTCTAAAATTGGTTTTAAAACAGTTACTCCCTATATAAACCAAAAGACTAGGTCTAAACTGAGAAAACTGAAAAGGATGTACTATATATCAAAAGACTTCAGTGCCCTGCACCAGATATACTCTGTACTTGACGGAGTACAAAGTCAACACAACAAGCATAAACAGGTAGAGGAACGTACTGCGCTCGCTGCTGCATCTAAAGCCCAAGCCCTATGTCGTCTCCTCACGAAACGCATAAGAAAGAACACAGACCACAACATTCACTCCTTACTGCACGATGGAGTAACGTATAATGACCAAACCGTCATATGTGAACTATTAAGTGAATGGTTTTCTCACAATGGGAATACATCTGATGCTCCAGATATCGACATAAAGTGCACCGGCAAAAACTATCTTAGTACCATAAACTTCGACATTAGGAGTATACATACCGCCATTAAAACCCTTAAGCCAAATGCGAGTTCTGGTGCCGATGACATCCCTTCAATCGTTTATAAAATGTCAGGGCCGGACATACAGACGCTACTACTCAAAATATACACATTATCTTTAGAGACAGGTACATATCCGGAAACCTGGAAGGTAACGTATGTTCTTCCCAAACACAAATCCGGACCGAGAAACCTGGTTGAAAACTACAGACCTATAAATATCACTCCAGTCATATCACGCATAATGGAAAAAGTGATACAAAATCAACTATCTGATCACCTACTCAAGGAAGATCTAATAGACCCGTCACAACACGGCTTCATTAGAACAAGGTCGTGCAGTACAT